CCTCCAGCCTGGCCAGACCCAACTGCCACCCCTGGGCCTTTCCTCAAGCAGCACCCACTGCCCAGAACGCCAGTCCGTCTGTCCCTCAGCCCAGCTCTGCAGGTCTGCGGCCCGCCCTGCCCTTTCCAGTGCTCCTCACGTCTGAGCCCCACAGGGGAGCCCGCCCCGTCCCCTCTGGGCCGTGTGTGATTGCTCTGTACAACACTCGCCAGCTCCCCGGGGCCTATGAAACAGGTGCGACATTTGCTGAATGAATGAATGATGTACACAAAGGAGGGGGAAGGTGAACATACGGGAGTCTGAGTGGAACAATTCTAGAAATAGGTCAGCAGCAAAGTCCTGGTTTTTGGCAGGCCTTCTCTACAGCCATTGTTCTCTTGTAGGGACCCTGGTGCGTGTGGGAATCACGTCTGAGTGATGACGATGCCCATGGACCTACCTGTCAGCCTACGCTAGGCGACTTTGCTACAACAAACCCCAAATCTCAAGGGCTTGAAACGACCCGAGTTTATTTCCCGTTCACTCATTCACACCACACACCCAGCAGAGTGCCAGGGAGGCTCTGCACACTGAGCAGTCGCCGCTCTGGGCTGCCGGAGGGAAAGAGAGTTCTGGCATCTGGCCCGCAGCAGTTAGAGGTTCGGCCTGAGAGACACGTGCAGATGACTGGCCAACACTGGTCACGTGACCCCACCGACCACAGGCCATCCAGGAAGCAGGATCCTGCTATGGGCTCAGGAAGATGGGGAACTGGGGGTTCTGGGCGACAGCTCTAATGACACTTACACAGACACCAACAACAATATGAACAGCAGAGGCCATTTGTCGAGGGTTTCCTGTGTCCTGGGCACTGGGCTTAGGACGTGAAGTGGAGGTTTACTTAATATGCATAGAATCGTCCAGAGGCCGCTACCATGAATATTCCTGTTTTCCAGGAAAGACAACTGAAGCCCAGAGAGTGAAGCAACTCACCAAGGTTACACAGCTGGTAGGTGGTGGAGCAGAGATCAGAACTTGCATCTGTGATCCCAGGCCTTCACGCACCCCCTTGCCCTGGGGTGAAGGATGGCCGTCAGGCCAGAAGTCCCCCCATGCAGAAGGCCATACGGACCCCCGCTACCAGGGGGCGCCTCCTCACACTCCCACACCACATTCCCAGGCTTCTCCAATGCCTCAGCCCTGGAGATGAGGAGGCTCCTCCCAAGTTCTGCTGAGAGACACACTGAGGCTCAGAGGGACCAGTGACCAAACCAAGGTCACACTGCTGGGCTGTGCAGGCCTGAGATGAGAGCTTGAGTCTCTGTCCATGGTGCTCTGAGGGTCCCCAACTATCTCCAAATTTTTTTCTTAGTGTTGATTTATTTTTGAGAGAGAGAGAGAGAGAGAGAGAGACCCACCTGGAATCAGATCCCAGCTCTGCTCTGTGATCTTAATCTCTCTGAGCCTTGGTCTTGTCATCTGTAAAATGGGGTTGTGATCAAGATTACAGATGACCTAGCCCATACCTGACACCTAGTAGGTACTCACCAAACACTGTGACTGTTATCGTTGTAACTGGGTTGGCTTTTGTTTCTTTGTTGGGTTGTTGTTGTTTTTTTTTTTTGCCCACCAATTTCCACCCCCATCCCAAACCTGGCCCCTCTACCCCCGACCATGATTAACCCTTCCTGAGCTACAGCGGGGCCCCTGTACCAGAAAGGTTATGGCTAAAGATTCTCACTCTGGCTGCCCCGAGAATGCATTTCCCTCACATAGTCCGTCCTCCCCGAGACCTTGTACCTAGAAGTCTGGTCAGAATGAGCCCCCACCCTGCACGCAAACTCTGCCTGGCATGCATCCCCCCAAGTCATGCTGGTGACACACAACGTGGTGGGCCCCAGCAGCCTGACCTCCAAGGGCAGCCATCCTCCTAATGTGGACAGGAAGTCAGGGCCTTCCCAGCCTCCTCTGAGCCCGCCCTCCGCTAGGAAGCCTGGAGCCCCCAAGTCTCCTTATCTTTCACCCCTCGTCCCCAGCTCCTGGAGCCTTTCCACTGCCTATGAACCCTATGCAGAGTTTCCTGCCCCATTCATCCAGTCCACAAGCATTTATTGAACATCGACTACATGCAGAGCACCACACCAAGCACCACAGAGAGGCAGGATTGAAAGGGCATGGCCCCGCGTCCCCGTGGGACCAGGGAGCAGTGGACACATCATTTGCGTTAGTGGCACTCCAGAGCCCGGTGATCACTAACGCAGGCTTTGAAGTTGCACAGAGCTGGATTCGAGGCTCAGTCCTGCTCCAGCCGAGAGGCATTGGACACGCTGCATCGCCCCGCTAACCTCAGTGTCTCCACGGGCAGAATGAGATGGCAGGCAGTGGTGGCTGGTGACACGTTTCCCAGTACCAAAGGCTTTGCACAGACCCTGGCACATAGTAGGAGTCTACCCCACGAACGCTTCATTCCTCGCCTTGACCGGCCAAGGGCAGGGTCCCTACGCATGCCAGGATAGACCTCCCTGCAGGCTTCCACCACCTCATTAATCAGAAAGGACTGTCCACCCGGCTAGGATGCCACCTGACGCCCCTGGCCGCCTGCCCATTCACCTCCATCTTGTCTGCAAGGACATCTGGGGATGGGGACGGAGCGTGCCAAGTTCTGGCTGAAGGCCAGGCATGCTGGGACCCCAGCAAACCAGAAGAGGCTCACCCGGCAGGCCCCCCTGCCACTGAGCCCACACTAGGTCACTGTCAACACACCACACACACCACACGTGCACAGTAGGTCCACAGTAAACATCCGGGCGGCAGGGGGTGGGGCGGGGGGGGGACGGGCTGAGGCTAGGTAGTGCCCTGAGATGAGGTAGGTAGCACGAGCTTGCCTTCAGAGGAACTGAATTTGCTGTTTCAGCAACAGGGAGCCACAGAAGGTTGCTGGGCAGCAGAGGGGCCTCTGCCCACCTCCCGAGCCTCATGATTCCCCACGCTCCAGTAAGCTTGAGCTTTTTGTGGTTGACCCTTCCTGCCCCCACTCTGAACAGGAGTCAGTGTCTGTCCCAAGCCTGCTCTGAATGTTCTCCCCCTGACACCGTCCCCCGCCCCTCTGATTAGCGCATGCTTCTCCTTCCATGTTGAGTTTAGAAGCATCTCCGGACCTTCCCTGTCTGGGGTCAAAGTCAGTTTTCTGCCTTCTGCAAACTGGCCCTTCTCGCGGTAGAGTACAAGTGTTCCTTTCTCGGGCCACCTCCCCGCGACAGGAGACCTCGGAGGGCAGAGTCCTGCTCTGACTCCCCTCTGTGCCCCAGCACTGCCTGACGCAGGGCAGGGCGGCGATCGCTGGTTTCCTGGTGGACATCACTGTAGCCTTTAGAATTCTGTCTCCAAGGCGGCAGAAAGGGAGGACGCAGGAGCCCGCTTGGGGAAACGAGGTCCCTGGTGCCCACCAGAGGGGAAGGGACACTGCGGGGAGGGGCTGCTGGGCAAGGGGGGGGTGGAGGGGGCCATCTTGGAGAAACTACAAGGCCAGTGGCCTGCTCCTTCTCCCCTTTTCTCCCTCTGTAAGCACAGAGGAGGTGGGCGGGGAGGGGCAGGACTGAGGTAGATACCAGGGAGTGCAGGCCCCCCCCCCCACTAGCTCAGCTGGTGGGCCCCACAGAGAACGCCTGAAGTCTGAGGTGTCCTGACCTTCCTATCATTTTCTACAGCCCCGGAGCCCCAGTCTGGGCAGAGGGCTCAGGGCAGCACTGCATGCAGGGACAATCAGACCAGACGGGCCCGAGGAACTGTCAGGCTGGGGGATCAGGACACACCAAGACACCCCTCATCTGGGCCGCCCCTTCCCCCAAGAGAGGGAGCAGGAAGACAGAGCCTGCCTTTTTGGAGGGACACGGATGGATTTCAGGGCGGATGAGAGAGGATGGAGAGGGGCCCTTTTCCAGGCAGCGGGGACGGTTTCTGAAAGGCAGGGAAGGTAAGGCGGGCGGACAGAGGCATCTGGAGGCCAGAGAGGTCACACTGAACGCCCTCCGGGGCACCTGGCCCACAGTGAGCCACCACCATTACTGTTGCTGTGGAGGAGCGGTGTGGTGCTGGCCGGGTCGCCGGCAGCGGCCGTCCCGAAGGGCCTTGAATGCCAAGCCAAAGATGGCCGGGTGGTGGTGGGCAGCCAGCGGCGGCCGCCGCGGGCCGGAGGGAGCGTGGAGGCCGCGGCGAGATCGAAGCCCGGCCGCAGGCGGGGCAGGTCTCCGCCCAGGCAGGGCGATAAATTAATTAAACGAACCTGCCACGCCGGCCTCTCCCCACCCCGCGCCGCGCTCCGAGGACGAGCGGGGCTGGGCCGCGGCCCGGCGGAGGCAGGCGCGCCCGCCGAGGCCGCGCCGCTCCCTCCCCGCGTCCCCTCCCCGCCGGGCGCCGTTTTCCAGGTAATTAAGGCCGTCCGGGCGGGCGCGCAGCTGCTTCTGCGGCCGCCGCGCCTCCGGCCCGGGCAGGTGCAATTAAACCCGCGCGTTCGCGGCCATTAAGCATTAATGCAGCTCATTAGCATAAGAACGAGCAGGCGCTTTGATGGCGGCAACCCCGCAGGGCAGAGGCGAGCGCTGGAGGGGCGGCGGGGCGCGGCCGCCAGGAGCCAGGGGCTCCAGAGGGGCCTGTAGCCACAGTGCGTCCCTCCTGGCAAGCGGGGTGTAGGCCTGGCCGCGACCCCGCCCAGGTCCCAAGAAGGGGTCTTCGGAGCGGGAGAGAGGAGGCCGTCCAGCGAGGGCAGGTGTGAGAAATAGTTGGGTAAACTGAGGCCTGCAGGTGCCACGTGACTCACACAGGGTGTCCCACAATCGGGGAGCGAGAACCCAGGTCTCAGCCTGCAAACTATTCCTTTATTAACAATAGCAGCAGTCCACACGTAAGCCTTGTGTCTGAGCCCTTAGCAGAAATTCTCTCACTTCCTCCCCCACCCCTAGCAACATCAGGAGCCAGTGGGTACTTGCAGTTGTGATCACCATTTGACAGCGGGAAAATGAGGCTTGGGAGAAAGGACTTTAATGTATCTCCGGTCCCACGGTTGGTAAAAGGCCAACGGCAGGATTGGCACCTGGGCGGGCTGGCTCCTGAGACCGGGCTGGTAACCAGGAACTCACACACAGCCAGGAGGGGTTACCAGGAAGGAGGAGGGGGCTGTGGCCAGGCGGAGGCCGTTCCATCCCCTCTCCCCCCCCCCCCCACTGGGTGTCAGGCTATATAGCCAGTGCCACCAATCACGGCCTTGGGGGAGCAGGTTGCAATAACACAGAAGGGCAGTAAACTGGAAACTGGGGGTAGCATCGCCCAAGGATGACTCACTGGCAACTTGTTTAGATTTTCTTCCCCCAAACCCTTGGTGGGCCTTCAAAATGGGTCTGAGCCAGACGTGGCTAGAGGACAGCCAGTCTGCCACTTTGTCTAACGCCTGGAAGTTAATAGGAACTCAAGAAAGGCCGGCTGAGCGAATGAACAAGTGAACGAATGCGTGCCTCCCTCTACAACGTGGGGGAAAACGGGGACTGGTCCTCAGATTTCATCTCTTCCAGGGTTGCTTTGGCCTGGGAGGTGGCTCTGTGAGAGCAGAAGGCCTAAGACGAAATGGCAGGTGGGGCCTGAGGCAGCCTTGCTGTGCCGTGGCTCCCGGCGTCCCCTGGGGCAGTGCCGCGGGCATTCCCGAGTCAAGGTTGTTGCAGAAAGATGTCTTGAGGCCCTGGTGGAGAAGGCAAAGAGCACAGGAAGAGCAGGAAGAGGAGAGTTCCACTCAGAGGGGCTGGAGCTACAAGGAAACTTCCAGCCCCCCAGGAGCTCAGAGGAGGTAGGCAGTTGCCGGGGGCCACACAGCAAAAAAAAAAAAAAAAAAAAAAAAAAAAAAATCTCCTGAGTCAAAAAAAAAAAAAAAAAAAAAAAAAAAAAAAAATCTCCTGAGTCATTCAGTCCTAGATATGCCCTTAGCAGGTGTCCAGAGCACCCTCTCTCCATAAGCGGCCCTTGCTCATACTCTCCATGCCTCTGTCTTGGCTTGTGATAATGCGCACTCCGGTACGTGCATGTATAATGAAACCAATAATTTGATTATTTGATTACTGTCTTTTCTCCCTTGGCCACACATCCCAGGTCCAGGGATTTCGAACACCCAGATCATGGCGGATCTCAGTCCTGGAACGCAGTAGGCTTGCAAACATATCTGCCCACCAGACCAAGTATTATTACTACAAACAGTCACAGTGCCAAAGAAAAATGCATGCTTGGTGGGGGCTTTCCTGCTTCCCCAAGTCCTCAGACACTCCCCGCACCTCCCCCCCTTCCCAACCTGATCCTGAGGCCAGCCCACCCCCTCAGCTGCGGGCTGGCCTGCAAAGGTATCTGTCCCAGAGGGGGCCCTCAGCAGCCTCATTAGGAAAGTAGTGACAGACGCATTAGCTGCTAAGGGTGTGTGTGTGGGGGGGGGGGTGCCTGAGGGCTGTCACAAGGTGAGGAAAACCAAATGCCTGCCACTTCCTGGGCCACCGGGCCCCATCTGTGCAGGGGCTGTGGCTGGGGAAGGGACACAGACGATGCCCCAAGTACAGAATTGCCCCGAGAGCTGGGACTCACCCCTGGGTCTCAGGGCCCAGAGCAGGGATGTTCCAGTCATTCCTCGCTGCGCTTGCTGCCTGCCTCCTCAATGGGAGGGACTCAGAGCCATCCTTGATGACCCCCTGCTTCCTCTGTTGGCCATTACAGTTTCAATGCTCTGTGTGAGAGGAGCCCACAGAACCCAGGAACCCACCCCCCGTGTAGCAGAAGAGGAAACTGAGGCCCGGGGAGGTGCTGCCCCAGAGCAGAGTCCTAGAGCTGGTGCCAGGCTCCACATTAAAGTCCTGGCTTGGCCACTAACAGGCTATGTGGCCTCTGGACCTCAGTTTCCCCATATGTGAAACATAGGCCTGGACCACAGTGACCCTGGAGTTTCCTCTGACCTCTGGGCCAGGGTCAGGGATTATCAGTGTCCCTTCAGCCCCCAAAGCCAGCCCTCCCTGGAGCCTGAGGCACAGCTACACACGGGGGTCACAGAACTTGGGCTTCCTAGGCACTGAGCCCCTCCTGGTGCCCAGGGCTGGGGGTAGAAACAGGTGCCCAGCAACCCAGTCAGGGACCAGTCCCGCTACCATTGATAAAAAGCAGGTGGGAAAAGTTTATACCACACCCCATATGCACACAGGAACAGGCCTCACACCACAGGATATGCACACAAACACACAGACAGACGCTCAGCCACACACACAGGTCCTCTGCCCACAAATGCAGACACACAAACCACACTCACACACAGAGGCACACAGGGCGCCCTACTGTACCACTGCACGGATGGGTACCCAGGAGGTGCTCTCTCAGTTCTCCAACCCAGACACACACACACACACATACAATCACACATTGATCCCTGTCGCAAACAGACACCCCCCACAACATGCACAGATCACACACACAGGCACATAGTCAACACCCATCACAGACAGACTCATACACGTGCCTGGACACGGCAGCCACAGGAGAACCGTCGCCCCCTCCATGGACAGAACCACCTCCCTCAATGGGCGCAGCCACAAGCTGCACACGCAGTTCCCCAAGCCCAGGAACACACTCAGATACACACCCATCTTGCCACTTGGTTAAATTCCACACGGCAGGCGGTGCCCAGCCCAGAAGAGCAAATCCAGATAAATAAATCATGTCCAGAGCATCAATCTCGGCCCCAACCTGGCTGCCTCCTTGCTGCAGGTAAAGCGAAACGGGTCTTAAATATTTTATAAATGAATAAACCTGTTAAGAGAATGTAATTTACAGGGCCATTGGCTGTAGGCTCACAATATCCCTCCCACATCTTTTCATTTTGGAGAGCACGTGGTGGTGGCAGGTGGTGGCCACTGGGGCATGATGTCTGGTGCCCCACCCGCTGCCCTTCTGCCAGGGGAGTTATTCCCAGGGAAAGGGGCATTCTGTGATTTTCCATCCACAAAGCCAGCTGCTGCTCAGAGACAGGGCCCTGAATTCTCTGGTCTCTTCAGCCTTTTCCCCCCAAGCCTTGGATGCCTTTTAAATGCCAATCCGTCCCTGGCAACTGTGATTTTCCAAGGCCTGTTTCGCACAGGGCTTGGAGGTGGTAGAACTGAACTGTTCAGGAATGGGGAAGAAGAGAGGCCCTTGCTGCAGTGACCAGTGGGGCAAGGCCAGCTTGTGGCTCGGCCTGAAGGGCAGCCAGGCATAGGGAGGCTGAGCCTGGTGCCAGGCCCGCAAGCCCCCGGGGACAGGCTGAGGAGCTTAGGGCAGCAAAACGGCTCCTAGGATGTGGAGAGGGAACAGAAGGTGGGTCCCATGGCCAACAAGGGGTCTTTGGATCTGAGGATGGCTGGGGCCAAGGAGGCTGGAGTGAGGCTGATGTCAGAGGTCAAAGTTAAAGCCCCTTGCTGCTGGGGCCTGAAACTCAGCTGAGGCCATGAGACTTCAGTGTCCCTGACCAGGCCAAGTGGCCTCCTGGCCCCGAGCTAGCAGGACCCAAGCACTGGCCCAAGCTGCTTTTATCAGAGATTAGTGGCAATGAGGAAGGGCTCCTGGGGTATGCAGATGGAGAGAGAATAAACAAAGTCAGAAAGGGATGGACTGTCCGGGGGCGCCTGCATGGCTCAGTTGGTTAAGTGGCCAACTCTTGGTTTCGGCTAGGGTCACGATCTCACAGTCTGTGAGTCTGAGTCCCGCGTCAGGCTCTGCGTTGACAGTGCGGAGCCTGCTTGGGATTCTCTCTCACACCCTCTCTCCGCCCCTCCCACACACTCTCAGAATACATAAACTTGGAAAAATAAAGAGAGAGAAAGGGATCATCTAGTCTGGCTTTCCTGAAGTTCTCATAGGAACGCGGTTCCCGTTCTCTCAAAACTCCCGGACTCAGGAAAAAGGAGAGTGTTACACAAATTTGAGAAAAGCAGGATATCAAACGGTATACACAGGATGAGCTCCCGCATGCTTGAACAACAGCACAAAGCCAGTGAGGAGGGGACAAAGTCAATTGTGCCTGCCTTTGGAGACTGGGATTATGCATGAATTGTTTTTCCTTTACTTGTCATATTTCCCAAAAGTCTATCATAAGCTTGTCCTCCTTTTATAGAGGGAAAAAAAGCCACTAAAACCAGCAAGTGCCTTACAAAACCAAATATATAGAATGGTCCCATATCTTACATTTATCTATCGTATATTCCTTATTGCATGTCTAGAAAAGGATGTTGACAGTAATTATGTCCAATGGATAGAAACAGGGAATTTTTCCTTGTGTTCCTGGATACAGATTTTTCTAAATTCAACATAGTCATGATAAATCATTAAAAGCAAAATGCTTAGGACTGGGAAGTTCTTTTTGATATCAAGCCTGCGTCTCTCCTGCTGCAACTGAGGGGTCACGCTGAGCGCGCTCACTCTGCGTGTGTACACTGGGTGAGGCTTGAGAAAGGCCGAAGGACCGTTGTTCAACAGGCACACAGCCTCTCTTCCAACACCTAAAGGCCGGCATTAAATTCTGCTGCCCGCCCAATCCAGGTAGGAGGGGACAGAGGGTCAGCTGAGTCGGTACCTTGGAAGAGACTGGGGGAAAGAAGGCGGCCCTGGAATGACCGTTCTTAAGGCGTTGGCAGCAGCAAAGTTCCGGAAGAGGCTGCCCCCAGGGCAGGCGGGGTGCCCGGGCTGGGGAGGTAGGAATGTGTCTCCTGGCCAGACGGTCCAATGGCTGCCAACTAGGGGAGGCCCGTGCTCCTGGTCTGGAGGAAGACCGTCTGGGGGGGCAGAGTCCAGGCCTGGACGACGTGGTGCGTGCGTGGGGTGCCTCCCTGGCCCTTAGCGGGGAGTTAGGCCCGACTGGCTCAGGGGCAGCCTCAGGGAAGGGCAGAGTTGGAGGCCAGGAGCCTGAGCTCCGGGACAGCATGGCCTGGAGGCTGGCCCCTACTTTCAACTTCCCTGGCGCGGGAGTCGGGGGTGCAGCCTGCTTCCTGCTGCCCCTGACGCGGGGGTTGAGGAGCTCAGTAAGCTGAGCCCGGTCTCCGGACGAACCTCGAGCCGGGGCGCCGGGATTGGAAGCCACTGCCCTCAGTCCCGGGTTCCCGGAAAGAGAGGGGCTCGGTGAGGGGGGCGGGGCCTCGCTAGCCCCGCCCCGCGGCCCCGCGGAGCACGCCGGGACGGAGCGCTGCCATGGCGACGGGAGCGGGCTGCCCCGCCCCGCCCCGCCCCCCGCGCCCCTAGGCTCCCGACCCCTCCCGGCGTCGCCGGCCCGCCGGCCGGGGCTTGTCAGGCCGGACGCCGCGGAGGAGGCCCCGGCGCGGCCAAGATGGTGGGCGCCGCGGGAGGGGAGCGTAGGGGAGGGCAGGAAGCGCGGGCGTTTGCCCTCTCGCCGCCCCCTCTCGAGGTTGAGGAGAGGAGAGGAAATGGCCCCGGAGGCGATAATCGAGCTGCCAGTGTGTCTGGCCTGACAGCTCCTACCTAAGCCTTTTCCCCGAGGCCCGAGGCCTGCCCAGCCCCCAGAGGCTGGGACAGCCCGCGCTAGGATCCAGAATTTGACACCGGTCCCCTTCCACCGCGCCCCCCACCGCCTTCCCCCCCCACCCCACCCCCCGCCCTCTCGGAAAGAAGGCCCGAGAAGACCCTGTCTTCCTAGCTGTGTCCTTTCCCCCAACCTAGTGCCCCTCCACCCCCAGTGAAGTGGGAGGTGTTTGGTTCCCCAGGCCTGGGGGCCCGAGATGGCAGCCTCTACCCACCTACACCCGAGCCATCTGTTCCTGGACAGCAAGAACCCCTTTCTCTTCAGTAGGGCCGCCTTTGAAGCCCCCAAAGCGCCCGCAGCTCTGAGCAGCCATCCCTGCTCTCCGGGGAGATTCAGCGAAGCTGACAGCTTCCCCGGGAGTCCCTGGTCCCCTCTTACCCTGTGTTCTCCCGGCAACAATGAGGGGCAAGAGCAGCATGGGAACTCACACGGACCGGGCCAGGCCAGTTTGGCCAGATGACTATCTTCCCGAGTCGTGCATGTGAGTGACTCTGCCCAGGTTCCCTGGGCAAACAAGCCCAGATCTGTTAGGGAGTGCGGTGGCAGAGCTGGGACTCAGCCAGGCTGTGACTCCGGATGCCCGTCCACACACAGTGGCACTCCCTGCTCCCGGGCCGCCTGGCTAGGGCTGGCCGGGCCGCCTATCTCGGGCCCAGAGCGATGGCCTGCTCTCCCAGTCCCTCCTCCCCACTACCACAGGCCTGGCTTCCCTTCTGAGACGCCAATCTGCAGCCACACAAAGCCCTGTTTGTTTGCTTTCTCTGCTGCTCCCTCTGGATCCGATGTCTTTCTCTGCTACCTGCCGGCCTGGCTTCCTCTCCAAGCTGTCCTCCCGGCCAGCTGAAGGGAAGGAGGGGGCGGCCATTCCAGCAAGCCCTGCCTCACAGCCACCCCAACATTCCTCAGATCCACCTCCCCAGTGCCAGGGCACCCAGCTGGGGCAGCCTGACCCACAATGGCTTCGCAGCCCCCTTACAGCCTCTCAGAACCTAGGGCGCCAGCTCGGTTCTCGGAACGGGAAAGATGCCTGCAGCCAGGGGCTGGGGCAGGGGGAGGGGAGCCCAAGAGGCCCAGCCAACCTCCCCTCTCCTTTTGTGAGCGAGGCTTGTTTTGTTCCTCAGTCAGGAAGGCTGCCCCTGACTTCCCAGCAACCCGTGGGCTGCCAGGAGATAAGGAGATGAATGGGGTCAGAAGGGCTGAATTGGAGGAGGCAGAGGGACACCTGGTTTTATGGCCCTCCCCCCACCCCTCAGTCTTTCCGGGGGCTCCTGGGTATGCCAGGCTCTGGGACAAGAGCTTACGGGCCACAATGGGAGTCTTACATGGTAGGCGCCCCCTCAGTGCCCACCCTGGGCAGGCACCTGAGCGGACCCCTCTACCTGGTGGGCACCCCAGGGCATGCAGCCCCGGGCACCCGCTGCGGTGTCTCGGGAAGCCTCATCAGCCTGAGCTGAAACAGGGCTCTCACAGGGGAAGAAAAATAAACACCCGCATTCCACACCACCTTCTCTACCTGCAGAGTGGGGGCTGCCCTCTCTCCCCGTTCAAATAAAGAAACCCAATACTGATACCGCACAAGATACAACAATCTCTCCTGGTTCCCTCTACCCAGGGCTCTTTTATTGCGCCCTGCCACACTGGGTGGCCCAGGGCAGGCCCTAACCTCCCTGGGCCTCCCTCTTCCCCTTCCTGTCCCCTCCACGCAGAGTTTAACCCTTTCGGCAACTCAGGATAAAGGCATGATTATGCTGGCTTGACAAATGACCGGAGGCCCCAAGAAAAAAAGCCACAGAGGTAAACTGCCCCACTCAGAATTCAAGCTTATTCCTGTTGGACTCTAAGCCCTAAAAACTTCCCACCGGGCTGTGGTATTATTTCACAGCCAGTGATTATCTGCCAAATGGATGAGTGACCACCGCGAGGTGGTGAGTGAGGGGTAGGTACAGCCAGCAGATGTCGCTTCCAAACTCAGCTCTGCCCCTTGGATGCTGTGTGACTTCAAGCAGGTCCCTTAACCTCTCTGAGCTCCAGCCGCCTTGAGAATCTGTATAGGGCAGCTGATCAGGCTCAGAGAGGACAGACCACCCAATGTCCAGTAAAACAGCAGGTGCTCCTTAAATGATGGCTTTTCTCTGTGATCGCTTGCAGCATCCAGAGAGACAGACATCCATTTCTTGGAGGAACCAGACCTCTCCCACCTCTGCTCATCTGCCCCTGTTTCTAGTGGTCCCGCCCCCCTGCCCTCCCCCCCCCCGCCCCTCCAGTCACCATCTCTGGCCCTCTGGAACGCTCAAGGCTAAGGCCAAGGGCTGCCAAGCCGAGTGAGCTCCCCAGGCTCCCGTCCTGCCCAGGAGACCAGGGCCTCTCTGTTTAATTAGCCAGGGTGAGGGCCCCAGGGGACAATGTCACCCTAAGGGAACAAAGCCAGCTCCGTCCACATCCTGCTGGACTCCAGAAAAGAGAACCACTCAATTAAGTCTGATTTGCCAAAACGTCTGTTTTTAGTGCTATTTTGGGCCACGGTGGGGATTTTCTGTGCTTGTCTCAAAGGTACCCTAAACCAGATTCCTTCCTACCTCCCCCACCCCTACTGTGTTTGAAATGAAAATATGTTCTTCCTCTTCTCTCTCTTTCCTTTTTCCTGCTTCTCTTTCCCACCTATCAGGGGGATGCAAATGAAGACGGGGGGGGGGAGCGGGGGGGGGGCCCACACGAGGACAGCACTCCCACCCACAGGCCTCCACAGCTCAGGTCCCCAGAGCACAGCGTACTGGGAGCTGTAGTTCCCTCAAACCAGGCTGAAGGCTGAGAGCTCCTACCGGAACTTTCCCTCCTCCCCACCTCTGGAAGCCTCTGAAGCCGGATCATTTTCTTCTGTCTCCCCAGACGCACACCAGGAGTCGGCCCTTCCCTCCACACACCCTTGTCTTCTGCCTCTCGGCTTCCGCTTAGGCTGTGCCCTCTGCTTGGCAAAACCTCCCCCAAGGTCTCTCCTCCATGGACTGAAAGCCTTTTTCTGCACTTTACCTTCTTAGCTTGCAACGCAATTACAACTAAATCCGCATCTATGCAATCATGTCTGTAATGTCTGCGGACCCGCCAGACTCTAGGCTTCAAAAGGGCAGGGGTGGCACCTGCTGGGTCACCGCCATTTCTGCAGGGCAGGCTGTCCCTCGCCCTTGGCACCGTGGACATTTTGGACCAGATTCTTTGTCATGGGGGCCATTCCTGTGTGTCCTAGGATGTTTAGCAGCACCCCTGGCTCTCCCCACTAGATGCCAGCACCTCCCCAGCTGAGACAACCAAAATGTCTCTGGACATGGCTGCACTTCCCCTCACCCCCCACTGAGACCCATTGCTCTAAGGCCTGGCACAGCCTCCTAAAATGAATGAATGCGTGATTCCTCCTTCCTCCCCCAACAGAACAGGTGATTTTTATTTTATCTCTTTACCTATTATCATAATCATGTACAAAATTAGTTTTCCCTATCAGACCAGAAGCTTCCAGAGGACAGGCCCATGTGACCTCGGCTGGGTATCAATGCTGACTGCCCATAATTATCCCTTGGGAGAATAACTCTCGAGGTATTGGAGAGCGCCAGACTGAGGCCTAGCTCTCGTCCCCCTCTGCCAATGTCCTGGACGACTGTGTGACTTTGCTACGCTAGCTAAACTCTGGGTGTCAGGGTCTCTGTCCCAAGTCTTTGACCTGCTGGGCTAGTGGAAGGTGTACAGCTTCACAGCTCTAAGGAGCTGTAGCCCCCCAAAAGAATCTTTCAGGTGGTTTTCAATTTACATTTGCATTTTCTGAGAATTTTTACTGTCATAACTGGTGACACTGATAAACCACTTTGCAATGTGCTGAGTACAGCTAAGTGCTTTTGAGACACCATCTCATTTAATCCTCTTAAGAAGAAAACTATGAAGCAGGAACTATTATTTTCATTTCTTGATAGGTGAGGAAATAAATAGTGGCTCAGAGCGCCGGAGGGGCCTATAACACCCAGATGTGGTTTGGTGGCATCTGAGAATGTCTCCAACAGAAAACACTTTTTTTGTTAAATGTTTATTTTTGAGAGTCAGAGAGAGACAGAGTGTGAGCGAGGGATGAGCAGAGAGGGAGACACAGAAGCTGAAGCAGGCTCCAGGCTCTGAGCTGTCAGCACAGAGCCCGATGTGGGGCTCGAACCCACAAACTGTGAGATCATGACCTCTGCCGAAGTGGGACACTCAACCGACTGAGCCACCCAGGTGCCTCTTCATCAGAGAACACTGTTAGCTTCAATACTTGATCCTGAAATCTTTCCTACGGTCTGAAGCCGGACTTTCCCAGCGAATAAGGCTCTTGTAGCCTTATTCCTACCATCAGGCCTCACCCTGGGAGCCCCCTGGGCACAGAATGAGCTCCAGGTCACAAAAGAAAGGTCCAACAAGGGCCAGGAGGTGGGAAGTGCCAATTGAAGAAGTCAGTCTGCCATGATGGGGCCTGGAGGGGCCCCCGCCACTCCCTTCCCTCCGCGGGTGCCATCACTCTCAGGAGAGCTCTGGCTGGGACACACTTCCCCCAGCGCAGAGCAGCTTTTCAAGACTCTTTGCGGAGGGAATAGAAAACAATCAGGACGGGGGCACCTGGGTGGCTCAGATGGCTGAGCATCTGAGTCTCGATTTCCGGTCAGGTCACGATCTCACAGCGTTGTGAGATGGAGCCCCACGTGGGCTCTGCGCTGACAGCACAGAGGCTGCTTGAGGTTCTCCCTCTTCCTCTGCTCCTCCCCCGCTCCCATTCTCTCTGTCTCTCAAAATAAAATAAATACATTTAAACAAAACAGAACAACAATAAGGAGGAAGCATTCCTTAGCACCTTCTACGTACCCGGCACAGCTGTATCTTCCCTGCATTAACTCACTAATTCTTCCCACAATTTTACGAGGTAGGTGCTATCATTTTCTCCATTTTACAGACGGGGCAAAAGCGAGCAAAGAAAGTAAGTAAGTCGTGTGAGTCAGCAAGCGGCAGAGCTGGGGACAGGAACCGAGGCCGCTGAACTCCAAATACACGTGCTCGTCTGTCCGCGATGCCGTGTTAGAGAGGCGTCACACCTGCAGCTGTGCTCCCAGCGCGCCGATGGGCGACAGGGCCTCGATGTGTGATTTATGAATGAGCGAATGAACAAATGAGGGAGCCTGTGGTTACACTGCCGCCAAAGTCACAAGCTGCCGGATGCTTTCTCGGAGCCCACCCACAGCGCTGGGACACAGCCTCTTTGGAAACAGCAGCTCTGGCCAGAAAACTCCTATAATTCTCACCTGTCCCACTGCGTGACAAAGGCCCGCTCGATCCGTGTCCTCCATCCAGATGGGAGAGACACGGTGCCGTGGCCAGTGTTATGGCGGGGAGGGTTTAGAGGCAGCCTGGCACGGACCTGCCATCTTTATTGGGAGGGGCCCGTGATTATGCCCATTTTAAAGGTAGGGGTGTAGAGCCTAGAGAGGGAGTCAGTAGCCAGACGTGACCCAGGCTGGCCGAACCCCAAAGCCTGTGTTTATGGCCCCAGCTAGGAGACCTCCTTGCTCCCCAGATGCTAGGACCCCAACACTGGCAGCACGGTTGATGCTTGCAGGAACTAACGCTCCCATCTGGGAGGGGGAGGTGCTGGCCCGAAGCAGCAGCTGAAACAAAACCTTTTCCTGACTCTCAACCAGCGCTTCTGCCGCCCCCGCCCCCCATGCTGTCCTGTGCACAGTCCCCAAGAAGGGGGCTCGAGGCACGGGGGTCCCAGCGCCGCTCCAGTCCGCAGGTCCTCCCTCCAGACCCCCAGCCGGGGGCCTGTCCACTGACTGGGGCTCACACACCATCAGTCTGAAAGCAGCTGACCGTCTCCCAATTTCCAGCGGAAGCTGAGGCCTCAGGGAAGAGGGGAGACGTCCCCGCAGCTCCTAACGGATGGCTGCGGTGCCCGGTGCCAGTCCCTGGGCGGCTGCATCTGTTTCCCCTCCCAGGACTCACACGGGCCCCTCCGCGGCACCCCGGGCGCCTGCTGCCCTGAGTCTGATCACTTCATACAGAAAGCGCACG